CCCTTTCTTCCCAGTGTGGCTCCAAAGCAGCTTAGATCGTTTTCCTCTCCTCCGTTTTATCCTCACAACATACCTGTGAGGCAGGTTAGGTTGAGAGTGTGTGACTAGCCCCATGTCACCCAGCAAGCTTTTGTGGCAGAGTGGGGATTTGAACCAGCTCCTGGTCTCCCAGCTCCTGGTCTGACACTCTAACTGCTGCCCTATGAACAGAGTCTGAGTCCAGCGGCACCTTAAAAGACCAGCAAAGTTTTGTTCATGGTGTAAGCTTTCATGTGCAAGCACACTTCCTATACTATGGATAAAACTTGGTTGGTCTTAAAGGTGCCCCACTGGACTCAAACTTTGTTCTGCTGCTTCAGACCAACACGGCTGCCCCCCCCCTGCACTACCCTATAGTCATGCTCATGCTCATTAGGTGGGGCCCAGTGTTCCCTCTAAGCTGAGTTAGCGTGAGCCAGCTCACAGTTTTTTTAGCCCCCGGCTCACACATTTTTGTCTTGGCTCAGGAAGGAGGGCTCCAGAGCAAACTTATCTATGCAGCAGCCGGATCGCTCGCTCACCACTTTAATGCCGGTAGCTCACAAAGTAGAACTTTTTGCTCACAGGACTCCGTAGCTTCGAGGGAACATTGGTGGGAGCCCCAAGGCCTCTTCCGAATGGATTCTCCCCTTCCTTGTGCTTATTCAGGCTTAATTCTTTTTTTCCTTCCTTTTAGAGGAGTTTAATGACTGTCAGGCTCATACTTGGCCATGACCTGGATAGCCCAGGCTAGTACGATCTCTTCAGACCTCAGAAGCTAAGCCAAGTGTTTGGATGGGAGACCACCGAGGAATACCAGGGGTCGTGATGCAGAGGCAGGCAATGGCCAACCACCTCTGAACGTCTCTTGCCTTGAAAATCCCACCAGGGGTCACCATAAGTCAGCTGGGACTTGAGGGCACTTGCGATCACCGGTACTTGGCCATAAGGAGCTGTGCCAGACCACCAAGGGGGCCGAGGGAGCAGGGCTTGGTTCAGTAAAGAAGCAACTGGTTTCTATAATAGAATTTTTTTCTTTCTTAGTGAAATACATTTCTTTCCTCCCTGGGCAGAATCTCACCTTCCCGATCTGAACACGATCCCACAGGTGGGAAAGTGGGAAGAGCCAGAGGTTCCAGGTCAGCCTGGTGAGGAGGAGGGGAATGTCCCATCGGACTACAGCTCAGGTGAGGAGCCCAATAAGCCAAAGGCTAAGAAAACATTAGCTGTTGAACACAAATCTTGTTTGTGCTCTCTGTCAACACCACAGGTTGTCAGAATCTTAAACATTTTATTACCTTGTCCTCCCCCCCCCTCCAGGATTTCTTGCTGTTATCATAAAGGAAGAGGTGCCCTGGATCCAGGGACCTGAGGAAAATGCAAACCTTGCTGGTGCCCAGACAGGTGAGGGTGAAGAGAGTTCATCTAGTTTGGGGTTCACCATTGGGGCACCCTCTCGCTTCATATGGGCCTGTTTACAGACACACAGACGTACATCCAACCCTGTATAAACTGGCCCTCTGGAAAAAATGATCTTTCATCTTGCACAAGGACGTTCAGGAAGGTAGCCACAGCCGGAGCCTGACTTGCACAGTTTATGGCCTGGCTAGAAAAGTTGTGTCCCGTGGCCTCTGCCGACTGGCTTGGAGGGCCTGCTGTTGCCTCCTCCGGGCAACTGTCATGATGGCAACGAGTCCGGCACTCTCAGCCTGAGTCCTGCAGCAACTAGCAGTGAGCAATTGACCATGGGCCTAACTGGAAGTGACATTATCGTCATGTACTTACCAGTACCATTAGTGCCATGTGTGTCTTTCTGTGCAAGCAGATCCTCATAGTGTCCTCCCCGCTTTGCCTGTACCTCCACTCTGTTCACATGGTCCTCTTTGTTTAGCATGATTGGACACCCATATGGATGGCACTTTTATGTGGATCTGTGTCTTTGACCCATGCTTGCATTGCACAAAGGCCATCACAAGAAGAAGAGTTGGTTTTTACACTCCACTTTTCTCTACCCTAAGGAGTCTCAAGGCAGCAAACCATCACTTTTCCCTTCCTTTCCCCACAACAGGCAGCTTGTGAGGTAGGTGGGGCTGAGAGAGTTGTGAGAGAACCGTGACTGGCCCAAGGTCATCCAGCGGGCTTCATGTGGAGGAGGAGTGGGGAATCAAACCCGGTTCTGCAGATTAGAATCTGCCGCTCTTAACCACCACATCATGCTGGCTCCCCAAGGAGGTGTGATATGCCAGCATTCTTATGCTTCGGCTTCGGTGAGGGAAGGGGGTGGGTGGCTCTTTTGCACAACTGTTTTTTTAATATTTGCACATACAAGTCCATATTCAAAGAAAAGGGAAATCAGCAATTGGCAGTATATGATTCCATTGAAACACACCGGCTGGTGTTCTTATTCTTAACACCACTTTGTGGCCATATGTTAATACAGCCTTGTAGTAAGGAATTTTTTGGTGGGTGGTCATTTAAGATCCTCAGGGAGCAGAGACTAATTACAGTAAAATAATTTAATCACCCTAATTGAATTACCTTAGTTTAATGAGAGTAATTAAATGGAGGTGGAAGGGGAAAGGCAACTCTGCAACGCTTACTTTTTATTGGAATCTGAGAATGTAGAGAACCAGATAAATAGCTTATCATTATAATGATATTCAGTTGCATATTAAAAAACCAAAAGGCTTTAAAAGGGAGACTGATGGAGGATAGGTCTACCAGTGGGTACTGGTCATGATGATTAAAGGGAGCTTCTGTATTTAGAGGCAGTCAAACTCTTAATCCCAGAGCCAGGAGGCAACATCATAGAATCACAGAGTTGGAAGGGACCTCCAGGGTCATCTAGCTCAACCCTCTGCACAATGCAGGAAATTCACAAAAGCCTCCTCCCCACATCCCCAGTGACCCCTGTTCCATGCCCAGTATATGGTAAAAAACCTCCAGGATCCCTGGCCAAAGTGGCCTGGAGAAAAAATTTGCTTCCTAGCCCCAAAGTGGCAATCAGTATTTCCCTGAGCGTGTAAGAAAGGGCCACGAGAACTAAGCACTGAGGCAACCCTTCCTGCTCTCCCTCTCATGATCTGCCTACGTTCACAGAATCAGCATTGCTGTCAGATGGCCATCTAGCTTCTGCTTAAAAACCTCCAATGAAGGAGAGCCCACCACCTCCTGAGGAAGCCTGTTACATATTATTATATCTACTTATTTTTCCCCTACGTCTTGTCATCTTCCCTGCCCCTTTTTCTTCCAAAGCACAAGTAACACCCTTGGAGAAATAAACAGGTGTATTAGGGCACCTTAAAGACTACTAAGATTTTATCCCAGGACAAAATTTTCATGGACTAGAGCCCATTTCTTCAGGCCAATACTTAAATACTAGGTTATGGAGAAAAAATGAAACAGGCAGTAGGGCCACAAAATGCAGGAAGCCAGCTGTTTCCTGGAGAGTGTCTGGCACATCACCCTACTCCATGCAGTAAGTAAGTGTTGTGAATTTTCATTCTCCATCCCTTTGGCATAACATTGTTGCTTGTATTTACGGTTTCGACTCATATCTGTGCAAGTCTCTTCCTGGGGTTGATGGTTTCTCACCCTGTACAACCGAATGCAGTTCCTACCATGGTTTGATTGCCGCAGACTTAACGAGGGGACCCCTATCTTGAATGTAAGAGAAGTAAATGTGACATTTAAAACCATTCATCAGTGGCCTCCCTCCCCAATCACTACTGGCAAACACTGCCTTGTAGCTTCCTTCAGCAATCACCTGAAGGCAGCCGCTTGCCTCATAGTTACCCTTAGGAAAAATTGCTCTGATTACTCCCAAAATTCAGGCAGTAATGGAGCCTGCCATGGCAGAAAACCAATCCATATTTGCTAGAGATGAAGGCCCTGCTGGTTCCCTTCAGAATACGTAGAGCAGGTGAAGAGTGTGAAGAGAAGTCCAAACCGAGATGACCATAACACCCATTCCTTTGGGGCCAGACAGTCCCTTATGTCATAATACTTTGTTTATTTGAACAGGCAACAAACACGCAGAAGAGGTGGAGAATCTTCTGCAAGCAAGCACTAATCTAGAGGCTACAAATAAGATGTCATCAGAAATTGACCAGCAAAGCATCTTTCGACATCCGGAGAAATCAGACATCTCTGAGAATGTAAGCAGAACAAGTAGCCAGTGGGGAAACAGCCCGGGAATGAGAGAGGAGGCAGCATTATTTTATGGGGAAGATGACTTCACCAAAACTGGCATCCAAAAGAGAATTCCAGTGTCTGGAAAAATGCATCAAAAAGGAGAGAAACGTTATAAATACTTGGACTGTAAGAAGAGATTGAATTGGAGATATTGCCCGGATACACACAGTAGAAGCCAAGTAGGAGACAGATCCTATATGTGCTCATTCTGTGGTAAGAGCTTCAGGTGGAACAGTAACTTGACTATCCATGAAAGGATCCACACGGGGGAGAAACCGTATATGTGCTCAATCTGTGGTAAAAGCTTCAATAAAAGGTCATACCATGCAGTACATGAACGAATGCATACAGAGAAAAAAACATACACTTGCTTAGTCTGTCATAAAATATTTGTTCACAAAGTAAGTCTTATTAGACACGAACAAGTCCACACAGGAGAGACGCCATATAAATGCTCAGCCTGTGGGAAAGGTTTCAGTCAGAGATGCAACCTGTTGTCCCATGAAAGAATTCACACAGAAGAAAGACCTTATGTATGTCTGTTCTGTGGGAAAAGGTTCAAACGGAAATCAAACCTCAACAGTCACAAATTAAGCCACACAGGAATAAAAACAAATACGTGTTCTGTCTGTGGTAAAAGCTTCAGTCACAAATCGAACCTTGTTAGCCATGAAAGGACCCATACAGGAGAGAAACCATATAAATGTCCTGTCTGTGGTAAAAGTTTCACAGATAGAGCGCATCTTATTAAACATGAGAAAGTTCATACTGGAGAGAAACCATACATGTGCTCCATCTGTGGGAACAGTTTCAGTCACCGTTCAAACCTCATTAGCCACGAAAGGATCCACACAGGAGAAAAACCATACCCATGTTCAGTCTGTGGTAAAAGTTTCACTGACAGAGCATATCTTCTTAAACATGAGAAAACGCATACAGGGGAGAGGCCATACAAGTGCTCCGTTTGCGGGAAAAGCTTCAGCCGTAAAGATTATCTTATTAGACATATGAGAATCCATACAGGAGAAAAACCATTTGCATGCTCAATCTGTGGAAAAGGTTTTATGTGGAAGAGTTATCTGGCTATCCATGAAAGAATCCATACAGGAGAGAAACCATATTCATGCTCAATCTGTGGGAAAAGCTTCAGTGAAAAATCATACCGTATTGTGCATGAACAGTTGCACACGGAAGAAAAGACACACACATGCCTGGTTTGTAATAAAAGCTTTGTTCATAAAGTCAGCCTAATGAGACATGAACAGACCCATTCAGGAGAGACACCACACCGATGCCCTGTCTGTGGGAAAGGTTTCAGTCAGCGATGTAGTCTTATTTCACATGAAAAAATCCACACTGACGAGAGACCTTTTGCATGCTCATTTTGTGGTAAAACCTTCAAACGACGATCAAATCTCACCAGTCATGAAAGAATCCATACAGGAGAGACTCCCTTTACATGCTCGGTCTGTGCCAGAAGATTCAACTGTAAAGCCCACCTCCTTGGACACATGAGAACCCACACAGGAGAGAAACCATATCCATGTTCGGTTTGTGGGAAAAGCTTTGGTAATAAATCACAGGTGGTTATACATGAGAGAATCCATACAGGAGAGGAACCATATACTTGCCCAGTCTGTGGGAAAAGATTCAAACACAGAACGAGTTGTATAGAACACCAGAAAATCCATACAGAAGAAAAACCATATACATGCTTAGTCTGCGGTAGAAACTTCAGTCGTAAAGAACACCTGATTATCCATGGGAGGATCCACACAGGGGAGAAACCATATTCATGCACCATCTGTAAGAAAACCTTCAAGCAGAAATCAAGCCTGACTTCCCATGAGAGGAGCCACACAGGAGAGAAACCACACATTTGCTTGGTCTGTGGTAAAAGTTTCACCTGTAAAGCATACCTGAGGAGACATGAGAAAGGCCACACAAGATAGAAGATCCATGCTGGAAAAAAAATCCCATTTGCATGCTTGGCCTCTGGTTAAAAATAAATAAAACTGAGTGAAAAATTATGCCTAACAGGGAAATCCATTCTAGAAACAAACATTTTCTGTTAAAAGCTTATGAAATATCTCATTATTATGAAAAACGAGAATATAAATAAGTAAAATATTAGTCCTATCTAGGTTCATGGAACACTCAGCCACAGGGCCCAACCAGAACAGATGGAGATTTGTGATTAGACTCTGTGTGTCTTTAAATTTATACAAATAGCTGCTGGGATGTGTGCATGTGCATCTCATATTGGGCTGAGTTTGCCATAAAGGGGGAGGGGGTATCCTTTCCACCTGATTTCATTCTCCCTTATGTAACATCACACTCCCTCCGAGTGCTGTTTGCCTGACAGGGAAAACATACTATCACAGCTACTATTGCAGTGGTTCTCAACCTTCCTAATGAGATTTGTGATTAGACTGTGTGTGTCTTTATACAAATAGCTGCTGGGATGTGTGCATGTGCCATTAAGGGGGAGGGGGTATCCTTTCCACCTGATTTCATTCTCCCTTATGTAACACTCCCTCCGAGTGCTGCTCACAGATCTTGTCTGGATGCAGTTTTTCATTACTCCAGAGAGAAATGGCCAATCCCCATATTCTGATAAAAGCTTTTTCAGAGCAGATCTTATTTAGTCACATCAAAGGAGGGGAAGGGGGGAATCACAGGGCAAACAACTGAAGAAACTTTATCAGCAAACCAGAACTCTATGTCAGTGAGATAAATTGAGAACAGTGTTCCCTCTAAGCTGTGGAGTTTTGTGAGCAAAAAATTCTACTTTGTGAGCTACTGGCATTAAAGTTGTGAGCGAGCGATTTGGCTGCTGCATCAATTGGTTTGCTCTGGAGCCCTCCTTCCTGAGCTAAGACAAAAATGTGTGAGCCGGAGGCTAAAAAACTGTGAGCTAGCTCACACTAACTCAGCTTAGAGGGAACACTGATTGAGAACAGTTATTATTTAGTAATATGTCCTGTTTGTGTGGCCCTTCAGGGCAACTGGTTGGCTACTGTATGAAACACAGACCAGTGGTCTGATCCAGCAGGCTCTACTAATGTTCTTTTCCCTCAGCACTATTATAATGAAATGTGTCTGTATTTCTTTGCCTGACTAGCTTCACTCCAGTTCATTTAAGTGGCCAAATGTTAATTGACCCTCCCCATATAATTTCTCATCCAAGAGTTGTATTAATACTATGTTCCTTATGGTGTTTTTTTTAAATTATATGGCATTCCTCTACGTGGTATATGAAAGGAACAGCTGTTAGGTGTACTTAGTTTGTCGCTATCTGGGAATATTTTAAGTATCTTATTAAATAGAACATTTGCAAAACATGTTCTGTGGTCCAGAGACTCTGAGATGTTGGTCCTGACTTTCTCCCCTCTGTAACAGCTGCCTCAGCAGCTCTTCCTACTGATAGCTAAATGAAACGTCCGTGCTGAGGAGCAGTGTACCCCCCCAAGTAACGGATGCAACATGAGATATTCTGCCTTCACAACTTGCTTTTTGTAGCAGGCTGGGTTGCCTTCCTAGACAAAAGATTGACAAACAAGCTACAGAGGCTATGCCGAAAACCAAAAACCTTGGTACTTTCCTCACAAACAGAGGTGGGTAACAATAAGGAAAAGGAAGAAACGTTTGAGTCAGACCCTGTCACAGACTTGCACCTCTCCAGGCACACAGTCTGGGTTCAAAGAACAGATAACAAAACACTTTTACCAAAAGCTCTGAAGGAATTCTAAATAACTCCTTCAAAGTACCAGGGTAGTCTGCCACCAGGTCACATTATTAGTTCCCAACAGGACTGGAGCAAAGTAACCCAAATCTCCAGGCTGGCTCTGGAACTCAATTCAAAGATCAGTTCTGCAGTCTCCACCACAGACTGAACTAAGACAAAAAATGTTTGTTGGTAGTAGAAGCACCTTACGGTCTAAGGCAATAGATTTAGCCTTTGAGGTTCAAGAAGTCAAAACCAAGACAGAATAAAAAATATAATTTCTTTATTTAAGTAAATTGTGCAAAGTTAGGTAAAACACAGGACTTCAGGCAGTGAAGGAAAAATAACAAACTCTAAGCTTTTCCAGCATAGCTAATACTTACAAGCAGTTTGCGAAGGTTACCCGTTTTCAGGTTCAAGAGAACATAAGTCCACAGAAACAGAAATAGTCCAAATGCACAGCCCATCTGGGTAGTATCCAAAAGCATCAAGCCATAGTGGGGTTGCATTGAGCATTGACCAAGCCAGGCCAAAATACCCAAGCAGGCCTAATGGTTACCGACCACTAGGTTACTTTATAGGAAAAAAGGGCTCTGAACAATCTAGGCCTTTGACCATTCAGAGTCCTGCAAAGTGATGTCAGCTTTGCTCGTAACCAGGGTGACCATACTAGCCCATAATACTTATTTGTGAGTTTGAGAGAAACGAAACCTAAAAACTATAAGGGTCCATTACTCCCCTCCACACAGGTGCTAACCATTCTGGAATGCACTAATTGGCTAATTGCTCACAGGCCGGCACTGCAAAGTACAGGCAGGTGTGAACTCAAGGACATTAGCTCTTCTCCTTATCTCGGTCTCTAGGGAAAATCTTATGCACCTCTTAGCTTCCCATAAGCACACTCTGTGAGGCAATTTACGGCCTCACCAGGCTTTAGAAGCCTGAACCAAACTTTTGTCAAGCAACCTTTTACAAGCAAGCAAAAAATGGTGTCTGACTTTCGTTACAGGCCCAGGGCCTCGTTGCAGGGGGGCCTGGAGAAGTTAATATGACATTGTGAGCAGCTAGGGTTGCCCCGATTTTGGGGGCTCCTTCCTTCCACCAAACAGCTTTAAATGCCTTGGGGAAGAAGCGGGGGTTGCCAGTTCCCAACATGATGATGTCACTTCTGTGTGACATCATTACGTTGGGGACAGCCCCTCCCTCCCCAGTAATGCCCCCCAAAGTCCCCCGCCAGGGACTTGGAAGGACCTGGCAACCCTATGAGCAGCTGCCTATTCACCTGGCTCTAAACACTTCTAGTGCCTGTTTATTAGCTGACCGGGAGATGTGTCATCTATCGTAAAGCTGAGTGGGAAAATTCAGGAGGGGGCATTTTTCTTTCTCCCAGGCTGTATGGAAGAATTTTAGGGGTGTGGAGAATTCAAGTTGCACACAGTGTCACACGATTGCTTTTTAGGAGAGGGAAAATCAGAGTTCTCATAGCCTCCCTTAAGGAGCCACAACTTGTGAGGCATGCCAGTTAAATGGAGAAATCCTATTGTTAATATGCTTGCTAATATAAATTGTTTGCATCTGGGGCAGGGGGGAGGGGTGCCCATGGAGGCCAAGGCCACAACCTCTTCACAGGACTATGACTCCAAATTCACAAGAGCACCTAACCACTGGCACTCCCTCGGCCCCCTCCCTTCACAAGGGGTGAAAGTAGCCCCATATCTCCTTGCTGTGATGAGACCAGAGGGATGATGGGGAGGGGACTAATTTCCATTACCCTTTGCACCAGTGACCTCTGGGCCTTGTGGCATCACTAAAGGAGGCCGACCAAAATTTATTACAAACTTGAGTTCCTGAGTGGTCTGTGCCCATCCCTAGTGGATACCACTGAAACAAACATTTATTTGTACATTTCTATGAACAAGACTAGGTGCTGTACAATTGTTAATACACCCCTATTTCTCTAAATCAACATTCCATTTTCTAATGTAACTTACAGAAGGAGCTGATAGAACAGATAGAACGATGCTTTCTCTCTCTGAGATCTGATATGCGCTTTTCCATCTGTGCATTGCCTGCATATTTGCACAAAAATTCACTGCTCATGCTCAGAAAAGGGACCCAAGATGTCACTTCAAAGATTTGTCTCAGGTTATTGTGAGTGTCCAGAATTAATTTTAAGAGCCATGTAGAATCTTCTTACAAATCCAGTATCGATTGCTTGTACACCAAGTGGACCTGACCTCTTGGACGTTGAGGTAGGCACAGAGCCCTTTTCCCTGAATGGGATACCTGCAAAATCACAAAATTAGATTTTCGTTAAGTTACAAACTGAAACAGACAATTGGCCTTTTTGAAAATTGGCCTCCCTTTTTTTGCTCAAGTATAACACCAGTGTCCCCCATTGTTCAAAGCTTGTAAAGAAAGTATATTATTTGGACAGAAACACTCTCAGACAGTCACAATAGGTAAAACAGCCACACTGCCAGTACTACCTAGTCAAAGACCATATCTTCCAGTTTGGTTTTTTAAAAAAAATTTAAATACACAGAAAACTAACATGGCCTGGGTTACGCTGGCAACAAGAACTCCACTGCTCCAAGATTACCAGCCTCCAGGTAGGGCCTGGAATCCTCCTGGAATTACAATTGATCTCAGAGATCAGTTCCTCTGGAGGCAAACCCTTGGAGGGTGGAGTCTTACGGCATCACATCCCTGCCAAACTCCCTCCACAAACTTTGCCCCTAGACTCCAGGGACTTCCCACAAATCTCCAGGGATCTCTCAAGAGGGAGCTGCAACCCTTGGCCATACATCCATTTAGGAATGATTTACCAAATAAATACGCCACAGAAAAGGTTCCATATCTAGTTTTACATAAAATCGACTCCCTTAAAAAGGGGGGGGGAGGCATTCCTCCGAGTATCCTCTGACTTGGTGCCGAAAAGAAACTAGACAACACTTACCAGTTGTTGAAGACTGTGCCATTCAGTCTTTTCCATGGCTGCTGCACTCCCTCCCGCTGGAGACCCAGCCAAAATTCTGCCGGGGGTTTGTTTTTCATTATGAACTCCTGTGTTAAAAAACAATATATATATATATTTTATAAACTATTTGGAAAATGTTGCAGCAGTCTGTATTTTAGAACTAGTCATGCCTTCCGTAATCTGGCCCCTTATCACTTCTATTTAAATTTCTCTGTCCACTGAACAGAAAAATAAATCACCTCCCCTGTTCCATGATATAGTACAAATAACCAGTAAAATACATTGTCATAGCTGTCAACTCTGGGTTGGGAAATACCTGGGGGGGTGGGGAGGTGGAGGGTGAGGTTTGAGGAGGGGAGTGTAGCCAGCAGGGTATAATACCAGAGAGTCCACACTCCAAAGCAGCCATTTTATCCAGTGGAACTAGGAAATGGCAGCTGAAAGCAACATAGGTCAGTTGTATAAAATACTACAGAATGGTAGATGTAATTAAGAAGGTGACCAGTTCGACTTTTGGAAGAGAGAACTCCGTGTTATACTTTGGTGCCTAAACCTTCTAATTTAATATTTGGAACATTTTTGGTAAGTGTATTGTATGTCTGCATTGTTGTAGCTGTTTTCTTAGCGATTCTTTGATGTATACTACTACCCACCTGCAGGGTAGCAACCCTAAATTCATGAGAGATTATAAATTGGATGTTGTAAACAATTTTTTTAAGTCAGATCAGTTGGAGAACAATGTAGAAATTAAGGAGAAAATGGAACACGTGGCTGAGCAGCCTTTATTGTATCACATCCTCCCACTTTATTAAGGGAGGGCGATACTTTTTGGCTGAAGTCAGGAGATTGAAGCAGAATAGAGAAACTGGAGGTGTTCTGCAGAAGTCAGAGCCTTGGGCGTTACAAATGAAAATCATTAATCAGTAGTGCCTCGAACCATATTCTGTAGCCAAGGGGGACCATTAGGCCAAGAGTCCCAGGTCCTGCTCACCTTGTGGGCCAACACAGTCATGCAGTCTGTTTACACATGAATGTAGTGCCTAAGTAATGTGAGGAAGGCCCACTGGAACTCATCGTCTGGGGGCAGTTAGGATGGATCCAGTCAGGGACTTCCAATCAGCTAGGGTTGATCTACTGATGTGAGATGGGCGTTAATTGGGGATTCACCAACCTTTATGGAAAAGAAGAGGCCACCGCCTTCGCAGCCAAGGGGCATTCTAAGCCACATAAACAGCCATGAACATGGTAGCCCCTCAAGGCTATGAACTGTCATGACCAAAGAACTCTACTGTTGACTGGAGAAGCCTCTGGATACCTGTTAAGTTACAAGCCACAATGGCTTTTCCTAAGACTCCATCAGCAACTATTTCCTCTCTTTTCTCAGTTAGACAGACAGAAAGATCAGAAGACCACATCTCTGGGGTTCTGAGTGTGATGTATTCAAAGCTGCCTTGAATGCATGATCTGTATGTAAACATCTTATGTGAAACATCTCATAGAAATGTTATGTTGAGCTTCATCCTGGGCTAGGATCCAAAACCATCCAATGGTATTGCTAGCCCAGGAAACACCTAGCCAATAACTTCGCAGCAAGCTCCCTGAGCGGGAACGTACGTGATTGGTCCTTATGCGTACAACCTCATTGGTTGGTAATTGTACAGCTATATTAGCCGGGAATGTTTAAAAGCAGGACAGCTGCAATGTAAAAGCTGTTCTGGCTATCAGATGTTGATCCATGTTGGAGTTGTGTTCGAGTTGAAGAATAAAGTTGTGTTCTTGCTGAATCACTCTCCGACTGCTTTGTTAAGCGAGCGACTTAACACTGAGCATGACACTGTCACTCCTGTACCTCACCGAGTCACTTAGCAGCAGCGAGCAACTACACCCTCACAACAACTGTTCAACATTTTGAGTGGTTCTCTCACCATTTCCTGTGTGTTTTCAATTGCCACCAGTGAACCACCGCAGGAAGAACAGTGGCTTTGACTGGAGCTCCAGTTTCCTTCCTCATTGGAGAAGAAGTAGGCCACGCTGCTGTCATTAACCCAGTCCTGGGAGCATGACGAGATATCTGATGGGCCCAGATCAGCTTGAGATCGCCGTAACATTACTTTGGAAAAGAAAGAACATATTTTTAAAGGGAAGATTACCCACTGCTAACATCTGCCATTTTCAAGACTCGTTGAGATAAAAGGCAGAGGGAGAAGAGAGCCGAGTATAAAATATTATGAATTAGAAAAAGAGATTGGATTTATACCCCACCCTTCACTACCCAGAGGAGTCTCAGAGTGGCTTACAATCTCCTTTCCCTTCCCCTCCCCACAACAGACACCCTGTGAGGTAGGTGGGGCTGAGAGAGCTCTGAGAGAACTGCTCGTGAGAAGACAACTCTGAGAGAACTTGTAACTGACCCAAGGTCACACCAGCAGCTGCATGTGGAGGAGTGGGGAATCAAATTTGGTTCTCCCAATTAGTTAGATGCTTGCCATTAAAATGCAATTTATGGCCTCATCTGGTTCCCCAGTAGCTGCTGAGTGAGCAAATGGTGGTAATTCCACACTCAAAACAAAAACAAACAAACCAAAAACCTTAGATAATCTCTGCAATACCATGGTCAGCCCACAGTATTCCAATATTTTGCAGAGTTTTTCCCTACCATGATTTTTAGGCCCAATTTTTGGTGATGTATTTATTTTCCTTAAGATGCAACTGCAGCACTAGGCAGACTCATGTGGACAGGCAAAGTATTATCGAGGCATTCCCAAGGTTACTGTTCCTTTAAAACCCTTCTCCTCCAGCCCCATCGCTTACTTCCTGTTCTCCTCTAGCCTACAGTTTCTTTGACACCCACTGAATAAATGGTTAATTATCATCAGCTGCTGTGATGGAGTTCTTACTAAGTCAGTGTGGTGCAATGGTTAAGAGTGTTGGACTAGGATCTGAGAGACCCAGATTCGAGACTCTACTCTGCCATGGCAGCATGCTAGGTGATCTCGGGGCCAGTCACATGCATTTGACCAAATCTTCCTTTTCAGGGTTGCTGTGAGGATACAATGGAGGAGAGGTCCAGATAGGAGGCAGACGGAATGGTGGAAGCAGCAGCATCACAACAAGCAGGAAACTGAGAACTTACCGCCCAGGACGATGACAGAAATGATCAGCCCTATAATGATTACTCCACTGATTGTTCCGCTGATGATAACACACCTTTTACTGAACATCAGCCCATCTCCAGCAGCTAAAAGAGAAGACACAAACATCTCAGTGTGTGTTACGTACCGTCAAGTCACTTCCAACTTATGCCGACCCTATGAAATATTAACCTTCAAAATGTCCTGTCATTAACAGCCTTGCTCAGCTCTTGCAGACCGAAGGCTGTTACTTCCTTTAATCCATAAAATCTCTCTCATGTTAAGTGCGCGGACTCTAATCTGGGAGAACCGGGTTTGATTCCCCCACTCCTCCTCTTGCATCTGGTTGGATGACCTTGGGCAAGCCATAGTTCTGGCACAGCTGTTCTTGAAAAAGAGCAGTTTCTGTCAGAGCTCTCTCAGCCCCACCTACCTCACAGGGTGTCTGTTGTGGGGAGGGGAAGGGAAAGGCGTTTGTAAGCCGCTCTGAGACACCTTTGGGTAGTGAAGGGCGGGGTATAAATCCAATCTCTTCTTCTTCTTCTTCTCTTCCTTTTTTCTAGTGACTCCTTTCTTCTCATAATGTGACCAAAGTACAATGCCAGGGTCTCTCATACACCAAGCAGACTCCACCCACACATTCTGAGGAAAACAAACCTCATGATTTGGCTGATGCCATGGTCCCTCATGCCATGTCCCCCTACTGTGTCCTCCCCACCCCCTGGACCTCCAATGTGTCCTCACACCTTAGAGACAACTGACGGAAAGCCCAGTTCTCTACACACACACACACAATCCAAATTTTCCATATAGAAGCAACTACGCAAATTCAGTCAGCTCGTGTGTAGCACAGTTTGGTTAATCTAAAAAAGTGTGCATGCACAGGAAAGCTTATACCCAGAATAAAACTTAGTTGGTCTTAAAAGTGCCACTGGACTCAACTTGAAACATCAACATGCAAGTAGTAAACATTTAATGGTTAAACACACAAAAACGGACTAAAACTGATCAGAAACTACATTCTGTTTGATTTTGTTTTGGATCAGCGTATTTTTTTTGTTATCGTTCAGTAGCACAGTCGAGTCCAACTCTTCAGGACCCCATGGACCACGTCAGGCCCTCCTGTCTTCTGTCGTGTGAATGCTACTTTGCAATTGGTTATAGAGGTCTCAATTCACAAGAGACCTGTTCAGAAGTGGTGGCAGGGGGCACCCTCCCCCATATGGGGTGTGTGTGGCAGGAGTATTAAAGCGGCGGTGGCAGCAGCGAAAAATGGCGGCGATGGTGGAGTGGCGAGGCGTCGGACTGACGGAGCAAGGCGGCGGAGTGACGGAGGCAGAAATGAAGGCGGAGCTATAGAGGGACGTAGTTGACGTGGCGCAGGCGCAGCGGAGCCGGACCAGACATTAGCTGGGTCGTAAGTCGATGCGAACCACGCACTAGAGAGGAGCCTGCCAAGAAAGAAAAGCCGCCGGACCGAAGACCACGCCAGACACCGGGACGCCAGGAACATTGGAGTACCGACGCCAAAAGACCGCCCGGGAACAAGCCAAAAAGAACATCGAGCCCTGCCACCTGGGTGCCAGTAGGGAAGCCCCGACCCCTGTAAACATGTGGCCTTAGTTAGGGATTATTCGGAACTGTGTAAACCGCTCAGAGACCCTCCGGGGTTTGAAGCGGTATAGAAATCTAAGGTATAAATAAATAAAATTAATTAATTATCATCAGCTGCTGGTGATCTCGAGGCCAGTCACACACACTTGGCCAAACCTACCTCACAGGGTTGCTGTGAGGATACAATGGAAGAATGGGGAATGAAGTAAGCAGCTCTGCATACCCACTGGGTAGAAAGATAGTGTATGAATGAAGGAAATAAATGTCGTTTTTATTCCTTCATTTTATAATTATCAGGAGCTACAGTGGCTCAAGTGGTTAAGACACTGAACTGCAGGCCGGAAGGTCAGTAGTTCAGCAGTTCGAGACCTGAGTGCCGCGTGACGGAGTGAGCTCCCGTCTCTGGCCCCAGCTCCTGCCAACCTAGCAGTTCGAAAGCAAGAAATTGCAAGTAGATACAGTAAATTGGTACCACTTCGGTGGGAAGGTAACAGCGCTCCGTGCACCTTGGTGTTTAGTCATGCCGGCCACATGACCACGGAAATGTCTTCGGACAGTGCTGGCTCTTCGGATTTGAAACGGAGATGAGCACCGCAACCCCAGAGTCTAATTCGACTGGCTTTTGAGCAAGGGAAACCTTTACCTTTATAATTATCATTATTTTATAACTAGGGAGCAAAGCCCGTTGTGGACGGAGACAATGAGCGCCTAGAAAGGTTGGG